AGTGACCCTTCGATGAGCTGCTGCTGCTGCTGCTGCTGAGACGCTCTTCTTGTAGCAGCAACAGCTGCTGCTGCTGCTGAGTTCAGGCGGCAGAAGCAGCAGATCGCTCTGAAATTATCCGTTTCGCTCCGCTGCAGCAGCAGCTGCTGCTGCTGCTGCTGCTGCTGCCGTCTGTTGCTGCTGCTGGCTCTGCGGCCTCACAGGGCCGCTGTGGGGCCTTGTCAAAGAAGCACGCGAGGTTTCTTAACAATCCTGTGCTGCTGTTGCTGCTGCTGCTGCTGCTGCTGCTGCACGACGGCCACGTTGCAGGGTTGTCGCTAATCCCTGAAGTTTGCTTCTGCTGCTCTGATGATTTTTGCTGCAAATTAATCGATTCCCAAGGCAAGGCAGTGGTTGCTGCTGCTGCAGTTGCTGCTGTTGCTTCAGCAGCAGCAGCGGCTGCTGCTGACCTACCCCGTCCGAAAGGGCTGCTGCTGCTGCTGCTGCTGCAGCTAATCTTCTCAACGCTCCCACTTGTTTAAATTTATAAACAAATGGCCTTAAATGTTCTTTGCGTTGTAACGTTGTTGCTGCTGCTGCTGCTGCTGCTGCCGCTGCTGCTGCTCCTCCGTTGACGGCCAGCCTGCGCCGTCACACAAAGGTCACTTGTTGTTGCTGCTGCTGCTGCTGCTGCTGCCACCGACAACAGCGCGCTGGCTGCAGCAACTGGAGCGTATCCCTTAGCAGCAAAGAAGAGAGAAATCGGTGCTGCTGCAGCTGCTGCTGTTCGAGCTGGTGCTGCTGCTGCTGCTGCTGCTGCCCCCGCTGCGCTGCTGCTGCTCCAGCTGCGGCTGCTGTCTGCGTGCAGATCTGCCCCTGATTATACTTGCAAGCAGCAGCTTGCTGCTGCTGCTTTGCTGCAGCCCTGCTGGGACGCAGCAGCAGCAGACTCGCTGCAGCGCTGCAGCAAAGGCATCCTCGCAGACAGCGACGCGCGGAGGTGCTGCCGTTGCTGCTGCTGCAGCAGCGGCTGCAGGTGCTGCCGTTGCTGCTGCTGCAGCGACAGCTGCAGCAGCAGCGGCAGCGGCTGAAGCTGCAGCCATTCGTGGAACCTGCAGAGCCCCCAGTGTCAGTAAGACACCAGCAGCAGCAGCACAAGCTGCAGCAGCAGCTGCTACTCAGTCAGTAGACTATGCTTCCTTTGTAAGCATCTGCTGCTGCTTCCCCACTGCTGCTGCTGCTTCCCCACCACTGCTGCTGCTGCAGGGCGTTTCATCACTGCAGCACTACAAAGTAGGACTGCTGCTGCTGCCGTCAGCAGCCCTAGGAGCAGCAGCAGCAGCAGCAGCAGCACTAGCTGCAGCAACAGCTGCACTTGTAGCTGCAGCGAAGCTTACAGCAGCGGCATCGGTGGCTGCTGCTGCTGTTGCTGCTGCCGCTGCTGCACCTGCTGCTGCAGCTTTTTCAAGCTAATGTACTAGATGGGGCTGTTCTGCAGCTGCTGCTGCTGCTGCTGCTGCTGCCGGTGCTGCAGCAATTTGCTGCTGTTGCTGCTGAGGAGTTTACCTTGGCAATCGCTGCTGCTGTTACATTCAAAGAAAAAGCAGTTTAGCGCTACCGCCTAATTATTCATGACCCAGAAACAGCAGCAGCAGCAGCAGCAGCAGCAGCAACTGCTGCAGCAGCAGAAGCAGCAGCACACGCAGCAGAAGCAGAAGCACTCGCAGCAGCATACGGCATGCCGCAGCAGCACAGCAGCAACAGCAGCAAAATAGAAGTAGCAGCACCTTCTCATTGCCTGCCTGTTGGAGCAGCAGCAGCCACAGAGGCCGCAGCAAAGGCAGCAGCAAGCGCTGCAGCAACTACAGCAGCAGCAGCAGCAGCAGCAGCAGCAATAATAACAGCTGCAGCAAGTGGAGCAACTGCAGCAGTAACAACAGCACCTAGTGCAGCGGATGCTCCAGCAGCAACAGGATTAAGTGCAGCAGCAACGCCACGATCAAGTGCAGCAGCAGCAGCAAGCGCAGCAGCAAAAGCTGCATCGGCAGCAGCAGCAAGCGCTGCAGCAGCTGCTGCTGTAACGAAGCTGCTGCTGAACAGCCAACGTACTCACAGTGCCGCTGCACTGGTGAATTATACTTTGCTGCAGCTCTGCTGCTGCTGCTGCTGCTGTTGCTGCTGCTGCAGTGCTTACATTAATGGTGGCTGAAAGTACTGAATGAAGATGAGACCATTTGCTTGCGCAAACCGTAAACGCTAAACCCTAAACCCTAAACCCTAAACCCTCGGCAAGCAGCCACACCCCACCAAAGCAAGGAACCAGCAAGTATTTATCTTATAAAAATAATAAAAATATATTTGATGTAAATTTGATCGAGGAAATCAGAAAGCGAAAGCCTGAAGTGCCTTAGTTTTGGAGGCGCAGCAGCAACAGTGAGATCTGCTGCTGTGGCTGCTGCTGCAGATGCTGCTGCTGATCTAAACCCTAAACCCTAAACCCTAAACCTTGAGCCCTAAATTATATACATATATTCTAAAATTTCAACGTTATATACCACTTTTAGTCTCAAATTGTTATATTTTGTTGCAGATCCTTGGGGGCCCCTGAGGGGGCCCCCAGAGGCCCCAGGGAGCGGCCCAGGTGTATGGCCACCTGCAGCAGCCAACTTCTTTTATTTGTTTGAGTTATGCAGAAAGTAATTTACTTTTGTATTTGGCGCATTTAAAGAAACACATTTGCGCAGACAGCAGCAGCAGCAGCAGCCGGTGATGCAGCTGCCGCCGCTGCTGCTGCTGCAGCACTGCTGCTGCGGCCTTTGCTGCTGCAGCTAGCGTGAGGGACACAGTCGCTTCTTTGGGGGTCTGCAGCAGCAGCAGCAGCAGCAGCAGCAGCAGCAGCAAGACATGCAGGTCGAGACGGGTGGGCCCCGCTGCGCTGCTGGGGCCCTCGCTGCAGCAGTGAGGGCCCCCAGAGGGGGGCCCCGAGCCTGCTCAGTGTTGCTGCTGCTGCTGCTGCTGCTGCTGCTTAATGCAGCAGCAGCAGCAGCGACGTTGGCTCTACCCCACACATTCATATCTCCCCTATGGCCGGCTGCCCTTCACCGCCACGCTGCAGCAACAGCAGCACGTGCAGCAACAGCAGCAGCAGCAACAAGGAAAGGAGCAGCAGCAGCTGCTGCTGAGCATTCTAGGGCTGTAGAAGCTGTAAATGCTGCAGCTTCTTTTTTTCTAGCCAAAGTGCTGCAGCAGCAGGAGCAGCAGAGTGGCCACGGCGTTGGGTCTTCTCCCCCAACTGCAGCAGCAGCAGCAGCAAGAGCAGCAGCAGCCGGAAAGCAGCAGCAGCAGCTGCTGCCAGCCTTGCTGCTTAGCTGCAGCGGAGGGGCTGACAGCACTGCCCTTTTGCATGCAATCGCAGGAGCCGTAGGGCTTTCTGCTTTTACAAATAAGGCCATTGCTGCTGCTGCTGCTGCTGCTGCTGCTGCTGGCCATGGCCATGTGCAGCAGCAGCAGCAGCAGCAGCAGAAGCAAAAGAAAGGCCCAGACGCATCAGATTGCCTGACTGCTGCAGAACTGGATGGCATTGCAGTATCAAGCTGCTGCAGCAGCAACGAAACCAACAGCAGCAACAGCAGCAACAGCAGCAGCAGCAGCAGCAGCAGCAGCAGCAGACTAGCTGCGTACTTGCCTGTGGGCAGCAGCGGAGTGCTAGTTGCTGCTGTTTATTTTGACCATCAGCTGCGCCCCACAGAGACGCAGCAGGAGCAGCAGCAGCTAGCAGCAATCTGTGGGGTGTATGGACTCCCGCTGCACTGCTACAAGCTGCCGGAGCAGCTTCTTGCTGCATGCAGGAAGCAGCAGCAGCAGCAGCAGCGGCAGCAGCAGCAGCACGGCAGAAGACGCAGCAGCAAAGCCTCGCCGCAGCAACTGATGCGCAGCTGGCGCCGATGCGAGTCAGCGGCCCTTCTTGCGCGTATCTTACAGCAGCAGCAGCAGCAGCAGCAGCAGCAGCAGAAGCAGCAGCAGCAGCAGCAGCAGCAGCAGCAGCAGCGGGGCTACCTCCTGACGGGGCATCACGCAGACGACCAGATAGAGACAATTTTCATGAAGCTGCTGCGGGGTGTCAACGTCCTGAACCTGCAGTAAGTCTGCTGCTGCTGCTGCAGCTGCTGCTGCTGCTGCAGCTGCTGCTGCTGCTGCTGCAGCTGCTGCTGCTGCTATTGCTGCTGCTCCCTGTGCAGCTGTGCTGCTGTTGCTGCTGTTACGCTGCAGCGGCATGGAGCCCTTCTCCGCCCTCACACTGGACAGGCAACTCAGCCGGCTAGCTAGCCACTCAGAGCTAGCTAGCCAGCCACAGCTAGCTAGCCATTCAGAGCTAGCTAGCCAGCCACAGCTAGCTAGCCATTCGGAGCTAGCTAGCCAGCTGCAGCTAGCTAGCCAGCTGCAGCTAACAGCAGCAAAGCCGTTTTTGGGCCTCTCCAAAAGCACTCTGCGCTGCTACCTCAATGTCAGTCCCTGCTTGGTGCTGCAGCAGCTTCTGCTGCTGCTGTTGCTCTTGCTGCTGCTGCAAGAGGCGCAGCAGCAGCAGCAGAGCTGCTGCAGCAGCCGTAGCTTCTGCTGCTGCTGGTGCCTCCAAGGCGAGCTGCTGTGTGAAAAAGTCGTGACGATAGCCGAGCAGCACCTTGACTTGCTGTTGCGCCCGATGCTGCTGCTGCTGGCTTCATTGCTGCTGCTGCTGCTGCTGCTGCTGCTGCTGCTGCAGGCCCTAGGGAGCGGGTGGTGCGAAGATTCTTCAAACCGCAGCCCCAAATATCTCAGAAATGCTTTTCGTCTTGCTGTGCTGCCAGTGCTCGCCGACTTTACGCAGCGCGCAGCTCAGCAGCAGCAGCAGCAGCAGCAGCAGCAGCACGAGCAGCAGCAGCAGCAGCAAGAACAGCAGCAGCAGCAGGAGCAACGGCAGCAGCACAGGGACCACGAGGACCAGATGAATGGGACAAATGCGGCTGCAGCAGCTGACTTCGCAGCAGAAGCAGCAGAACACCTGGACGCAGAGCTAGCAGCAGACCTAGCAACAACGGAAGCAGCAGCAGCAGCAGCAGCAGCAGCAGCAGCAGCACCTGACAAGGCCAGCTGTGGGGTTGCTGCCTTGCGGCGTCGGCTGGAGCTGCTGCACCGGCAGGTGCTGCTGATGAAGCAGCACATACACCAGGAAGCCTCTGCGTGGGAACGGACTCACCTCAGTTGTGCTGCTGCTGCTGCTGCTGCGGAGGCAGCAGCAACAGCTGCTGCTGCGGAAGCAGCAGCAACGGCTGTTGCTGCGGAAGCAGCAGCAACGGCTGCTGCTGCTGCTGACAACAGTGCAGGTAAAGACACAGCAGCAGCGCCGATTCCTTCTTCAGAAGCAGCAACAAATGCAAGCCGTTCGCCAGCGGACCCCCAGCAGCAGCAGCAGCAGCAGCAGCAGCAGCAGCAGCAACTGGGTGTGCCCGCTTTTCCTGTTGCTGCGTGGGCCCAAGTAGGCTCAGAGTTCATGAAGCAGCAGCTGCTGCACCGCTGGCTGCGGAGGGTCATGGAGGAAGGAGAAGTGCTGCAGCGGACTGTGGAGGCTCTGGCAGCTCAGCTTGCTGCAGCAGCCAGCAGCAGCAGCAGCAGCAGCAGCAGCAGCAAAAGCTGGCGATTAGATGTGGGCAGGAACTACTTCGTTGAAGGCAGCAGGCACCACGCGGTCCTTCGCCGCCGCCCGACGCAGCAGCAGCAGCAGCAGCAGCAGCAGCAGCAGCACCGGCACAGACAGCGGCAGCAGCCAAAGCACTAGCAGCAGCAGCGCCAGCAGCTGCAGCAACAGCAGAAGCAGCAGCACGAGCAGCAGAAGGCAGCAGCTTCTGAGACAACAGGGAGTTCCGAAAAAATATTATTTTATATTCCATTTTGCCAAACAAATTGGGAATTTAATTTAGGGCTTAAAGTTTGTTTATAGTTTGCTTCCATCTTTGAGCTGCTGCTGCTGCAGCTCGTGAGTGGCTGCTGCTGTGGCGCCGTGCAGCCGCCTGGCCCCGCAGCTAGCTGCAGCTAGCTGCAGCTAGCTGCAGCTAGCTGCAGCTAGCTACGAGCAGCGGCTGCAGCTAGCCGCAGCAAGCTGCAAGGAGCTGCTGCAGCTAGCCGCAGCTAGCTACGAGCAGCGGCTGCAGCTAGCCGCAGTTAGCTGCAAGGAGCTGCTACAGCTAGCCGCAGCTAGCTGCAAGGAACTGCTGCAGCTAGCCGCAGCTAGCTGCAAGGAGCTGCTGCAGCTAGCCGCAGCTAGCTGCAGCTTGCTGCAGCTCGTTGCAGCTTGCTGCTGCTGCTTCGAGCAGCAGGAGTCGCGCTGCGTTGCCTCGTCCAGTGCAGCAAGTGGGGCATGGGACACCCTGAACTTAGGGTTTAGGGTTTAGGGTTTAGGGTTTAGGGTTTAGGTGTAGTGTGTGGCATCTCACTGCATCTGTGGGGCTTTCTAGAGCTTTTCGGCTCCCCTCGTTTTGACTGGCAGCGCGCAGAGCTGCTGCGGGTCTCGCGCGTCTGTTCACTTCGCTGTTGTGCTGATTTTATAACTTCAAATAAATTAAATTAGTTTAATTCTAACTCGGATCGAAGAATTTTGTCTTCACGCCCGCATCAACGGGATTCCATGGAGGTTCTGCTGCTGCCGACGCATCGACGCTGCGTGAACTGCCGGCAGGCGCTCTTTTTGCGGCTAAGTTTTTTATCTTCTGAATAAAAGAAACTAAAATCAAAATCGAGGAATAAAAAGGTTATTTTAAAGTGTTTTGCAGCGAAGGGAGATGCTGTGGCTGGTCGCCGGGGAACCGGGCTGGGGCTTGGGATCACCTGCAGAGCCCCGGTGTGCCGCTCTTGAACACAAATGAATACTGCCAAAGTCATTGAATTTGAATTAAGCAAATTGTTGGCTTTTATGATTAAACCTCCTTATAGGCGAAAATGACTCTGGAGGCGGCTTTCCGAGACAGGCGCGGAAGATCTCGCTGCCTGCAGCCGTCGGCACCAGTGGTTTTGGCATTGGTACTTTCCCTTCTTTGGGGTTTGTTTGCCTCAAGTGCTTCAGCATTAGATCCTCCGCAATTGAAATTAGATCAGAATCACTCTTCGCCGTCTCTGGAGATCCCTGTGGCGACAGATCTGCCGCTGAACAGCGCTCCGATTGCCGCGGCCACAGGCGCAGCAGCAGCAGCAGCAGCAGCAGCAGCAGCAGCACCCGACGCATGGCCACGAACAGCAGATGGATTTGCCTTCCGAATCAAAAGAAAACCAAGACCATATTTTCCCGCACTCGGGGCATTTGTCCTCGGCGTCATCCTCGCCAGTCTCCTGCTGAGGATCAGCAGCAGAAAGGAGGTGAGAGCGCAGCAGATGCAGCAGCAGCGCCCGCAGGCTGAGAAGCAGCAGCAGCAGCAGACGCAGCGCGAGCAGCAGCAGAAGCAGCAGCAACGAACGCGCCTGCCCCTATGCCAGAAGACAGACTGCTGGGCTTAAAGTGGTCACAACTGGCAGCTCTATATTCCTTAGGCAACACACCTCGCCGCTTGTGCTGCTGCTGCTGCTGCTGCGTTGCGAAATACCTCGTAAAGGGCCTCCCAGCCAGAAAAAATGCCACAAAAGCACTTTAAAATATAGGGCGGCACTTGGTGAACACATTAAAGTCCCGCATCTTCCACTTCTTTCCACTGATGCGGCGATTGGCAGCCGGGCTGGTGTGAATGCAAGTGCTGCAAAGACACTCAAAAGACTCTTTGGTCTTTTTGCATTTCCGATGGCATTTGGCATTAATTGCACCCCCTCGACTCCCGAAAAGAAGCTTAAAGAGGAGTGACTGAAAAGGCTTTTCAAAGAATCTGAAAGGGCCGCAGCTTCATTAACTCTACAGTCAGATGAGCAGAAGGTGGGTTTCGAACTGCAGCAGCTGCGACATCGGACTGAGACAAAGGCAGAGCTGGCAAAGCGCCAGTTGTTGCAATTTTATAAGTATTAAAACTTTCAAGTTTGTTCATAAACAGGTGAGGGCTTTCGCGCCAGCTTTCCGGCCTTCAATGCATCTTTTCACATTCGCTGCATGCAGCATGCAGATTCACTTTTCATGAGAGTGCGCGCTTTCTCGCTGCATCGGTCTTGTCAGTCCTTGAGAGAATGCATTTTAGTTCAAATTGTTTTTAAAAGGAAGCCTTCTAGTCCAAATTTCCCCAACTGCGCGCTTTAATTGGAGCAAATTAGCTGCAACTTCGCAGATGCAGAGCTTGGCGCGGGATGTCTTGATGGGGAAATCCCAACATCTCCGTCTGCTTCCATGGCTCTTCTGTTTAATCTGCTGCTGCCACATCTAGAGATCTTTGTATACTTCGTTGAACTTCACATTCTGAAAAAGAAAGAAAGTCCTGGGGCCGCACCTTCGGCCGTGGGTCGTTAAGGCTGAAAATGACACAAATTGGCGGGAAGTTAGCGGCTCATTGCTAAGAGTGTAGATCGCAGGAAGCTGTTGCTGCAGCAGATCTCTCGACTTAAGGACGGAGATGGCTCAATTTGTAGTTGAGTTCATTGCCATTTGGGAGGTCCATGGATGGCGCATGCATGCAAAGAAACAGTCTGTTGAATCGGCTGTAGAGGAAAAGCACCTCTTCCAGGATAAAGCGGTCATCAGCTTCTTCTTTAGCCTTTGGCGGACGCTACTTGGTGCAGCTTTGGGTATTTAGAGGGTCTAGTGGCTCCAGAGCCATTAGATATTGATGAGGACCAGAGAGTAATTTTCCAGTTTTCATCAAAAAGCAAAACTAATGCGGCTTTTGCTGCGTTTGCTGTCAAACACCCTCAAAGAGGCATCTGTACTGCAAAAGATGGTGGCTGTATTTTTAGCTCACAAGGAATCCCTTGCTGATGGGGAATGGACCTTGTGCTTTCGCCTGTAAGCACAGGTCGGGGGACTTTGTTGCAAGTGTGCTTTCGAGACTCCTCCAATGATTCGTTGCAACTAAATGCTGCTCACTCTCTACGTTTGGCTTCTGGAATGCGTGAAATCTGGCTCTTGAAATTAATCTGTTTCTAATTTGCTCCAGGGTTTATGCTGGCAAGGGGCGTGGCTATCAGGAAGTGGCCCAACGAATTCAGAAACAATGTATCCATTGTTCCGGACGGCAGCGGCGAAGTGATCTCACATAAAATCTAAAACTGCAGCATTTTTGGTCTCTGAAAAGTTTGACTTGTGCTATTTTTCCGGTTTCTGGCCCGCAAAGGTCTGTGGTGATGCGCTACTTGCTGCAATAGGACAAGCTGGTGAGTGTTATAAGAACCACCATAGGAACACTTCCTCAGGAGCCTAGACATGCTCGAACTGTGATATATACTTCAATGCCAAGTGAATTATGCAGTCAGGCGTGAGCAGCTTGTTCTGAACTGCCGGCGCCACACCCTTTTGCTTCCTGGGTTGAAGAGCATCACAGGTGAGGGAAGATCTCTTCTTGAAGGTTACAAACGAAGGCTAGTTAGCAACAAAACAAGTTGCTGCTGGTTTCTTGTGATTACAGCGAGTGCGTCTGGATGTTTCAAGTGGATTTTGCAGCAGAGAAGCACTACAACTTTGCAGATGTTTGTTCTCTCCACACGATTTGATATCAACCCACTGGGCCTGTGTGACATAAGCAAAGTTTCACCTCCGCTGCGCGGGGCTTTGCGATAGTCTTGCTAAGCTGAAGAGGTTTACTTTCACTACTTTCCATAAAATTGGGGTTTCACTACTTTTCATAAAATTGCGGAAAGCTGCAGGAAATGCGCTGGGCTCTTGAGCCGCAGCAAATGAAGACAGAACTGAAGGCCGCGAGAGCAGGTCGTGAGTTCTACTCTGACGAATATGATGTTTCTGTGATTCGATTGTGTCTTCGGCTGTTGGAGCTGAGTACTTTTGTTGAGTTTTGTCTCCATTGTTTCCTCGGGGCACTTGTCTTTGAGGAGCATTTTGCTGCTTGGGGAAGAATTTGAATTATCTAAACGCCGCTGTTTTGCAGCTGTGAGATCATCGCCCTTAGAAAGTCCGTTTTCTTCTTCCCAAGTCCCCAACTGCTTACTCTTAATGCCGTGAAGATGCTGCATTCGCAACAGTTTTGGTGGTAGATCTCCCACACTAAGAAAATGCTTGTTGTGCAGGGCCTTCATTGACTGTAGCACGGGTTTGTTGAAAGCTTTCTTGCATTTGAGGAATTCCTTACTTGAAGCGTCTATGAAGAGGAATTCTTTACTTGAAACATCTAAGATAAGATATCTCTACTTTTGCAATTATGGGCTCATCACGCCCCAGAAAGTCCGTTCACTTCAACCCAAGTCCTCCACTGCTTGCCTTCGACTCTGCGGCGATGCAGCCTCTGCTCAATTTTACTTGTGAAGCCTGCCTAGAATACTTTAATGTGGATCAGGGCTAAGATGAGGTCAATGAAGGTGTTCCGAATGTTGGTTTTATCGAGCTGCCAGTCGATTCATCTGCGTTTCTTTCCAGTTGTGTTCTGAGAGCCCCGTTGTTGGCTAAGGTGACGAGCTGCAGGGCTACAAAATGATATTTGTGTATGAGCATTTTTAGCTGTAAATGTCTGCTGCTGCCTTTTAAAAGTGAATTCTGGCACATTCGGCTGCTGCTGCTTGGTTTGGGTAAATGCCACTTCAAAGCGCGGGATTCTTTGTGCTTCCAAAGAATGCTTTCTTTAACTATCACCAGCGATCCTTTTGTCGCAGCAAAAACGTCTAAGGCCCAGCGCCCACTGCGCATTCCAGTCTTCTGTTGTTGAGGACGCAGGCCAGTGTGGGTTCCACTGACCTCCTCAGGGGCAGGAGGTGAGATTGTTATTTTAGCAATTCTGACAAGACTTTCCGACTTGCTGGGAGCTTCGTGTGTTCTATACATGCTTTCCATCGATGCTTCTGGCTTTGATGCATGGTTCGTGACACGCAAACATGATGTGACCTTTGCAGCGTAGGAGTTGCTGCACAGACTCCCGCAAGAAAGACATGATCGTTTGAATATGACTTTGTCATTTTTTGGAAAATCAGGATTTGGTATTTGGGCCGTCTTCATGGGCTGACGACACCCTAGCGCTCTATTGAAGTATATTTGGCGCATGCTGTGTAAAGGGGGTGCATGGTGTATTCAGGTGAAAGGTGATGGAGGAAAGTTACTTATTAAACCCCATTATCGTCGTCTAGGTAGCCACAGGATAGGCAACACAGCAGCTTATTGGAACCAGGAAGTGTGTTTCTTTGCTTATTGATGCAGAGGCGAGCGCTCATGCTTAAGTTCAGCAAGTCCCACTTGCCATTGGAGTAGTCATGCCAACCTCTAATCGAGCAAAGGTTTCGTCTTAACTTAGCGCCAAAGCCATGCAAGTCTCACTGGCATGAGTGCAGGAAGTGGGTCAGCAACACAAGTGGCCAGTACTTAATGCACAAGGTGCTGTGCTCACGCAGCGGAAAGCCCCAAACCTAATCTCTCAGGCCGCATGCATGGTATTCTTTGAGCCGCGCGCGTAGTGTTGTATGCAGAGTGGCCAAGTTTGTCGTTTTAACTGCGTCTTATTAGGGGAAAAGATTCGAATTCTCTGTTGGCGTTTGTTGCGGCTTCTTGGTCGGCGCCAAGATGCCACACAAAGGCGCGTTTTGCTCTCTCTGCTACTCTTAAATCCAACTTGCAGGTTGTGAGCTTTTTTCTGACGAATTAAATGCCACTTTGGTTCCAAGTACACGAGAAGAAATGCCGCAGAAGCAGCGCCGTGTACTTGCATGCTTGCAGCCAAGAGAACAGCGGGGTTCACAACTGGAATCAAAACTTATTAACCCAGGCGTCATAGTCATTAAAGACTTCTGATGCATTTTTTATGACGCAGGTCGTGCGTCTTCTGCTAGGCTAGTGCTATGGGGAGAAGCGAAAAGTGATGCTGCAGCACATGCTGATTGACAAGTACTTGGTGGTTCTGCTTGGCAAGAAAAATTGCGAAAAGAAAAAGTGGAGAGCATTGATTGCGAGTGCCACTACTTGCACCCGAATCTTAGTACTTGCAGAAGTATCTCCCCGTGTTCTCTTACTTTAACAATTGCTGCTCTGTGCCGTACTGGCAAACAAGCTTGTTGATTCTTAGGTCTATAAATATCTACTAATGATCTATAAATATCTACTAATGATGGAAGTTTGGGCAGTCGCTTTATCTGCCACGCATAAACTGTAGGACTTAGGCAAGTGATCACTCAGTAAAAAGCGCCCCTGCCAATGCTAGTGCTATCGCCATTTACGGGGAAAAGCTCGTGTTTGAATTTTGCAGGAGGTGAGTTCCCAAGCCGCTCACGTGCAGTATTTGATGCTTTATACTTTATGGTTTAGGGTTTAGGGTTTAGGGTTTACGGCCTCAGCGACTTCTTTGAACAAAACTACCATTCATTTCTTCGTATAATCGGGAAAAGTGGACTAAAAAGAGCAGCAACGTCCCTGAAACACGAAGCTGAAGGCTCGA